TTTTTTTTAACCCTTTAAAAGCTAAATTTTTTCTATTTTATTTTCAACAAAAAGATTTAGAATAAATATCTGAAATCTTACAAAGGACAAAGAGCAATGCTCTCTGCCAATCTCTCTATAAAACGAAAACAGTAAAAATATTAATAATAAATGAAATTGCATGTATTAATTTCAGTACTAAACATCAATTATATTGATAAGTGCCTTAAGAATAAGAATAGAAATCGATTTTTCTTGGTTTCTTCTTATTAAATAAGGCTATATATATAAGTATACACATACAGGATCTTCTAACGTTACTAAGTAGACTTTCATTAGGAAGATGTGTATACCCCCATTTAGACTAAGCCTATATTATTTTTGGCCATGGATATGAAAACTTTTCTCTGAAAAATGAGAATATTTCTGTAAATAAAAGCTCGAAAATATGTAGATATTGAGATAATCACAGAAAGGATCGTCTCCGAGGATCGTTTAAACTCGTCGATTGGATCATCAACAATAGCACTTAATGGAAATTCGTTAATTAGTCAAAGTATCGATTAAGAGAGGACCCGGCGGTGGATGAAGTTCTCAAACTCCCATCTATGTTTACATTGGTTTTCTGCTGATTAAGGTCGAGCTGTTTTAGTTCCGACTCGTATGTTTAATTTATTCTCATTCTCGAGAGCCTTGTTAGTCGAGGATTTACTCGCTACAACTAATAAATTCGTGAAGGAATTTAATGAATCACACCCATCTAATTTGAGTTATATTCGGTTTAAAATAGCATGAATTTATTTTTATCCTCTTCTAACGTTAGATTTATATATATATATATATATATATATTTTTTTTTTCTGTCTAGAAGACATAAGTAATGAAAGGTTAGCTACGTTTCTCCATCATTCTGACTCTGTGGATGCCAAGCTCTGTTTTATACGATCATCAAGCTTCTGTTATTCCCATTAATGGGCGGAGTAACAAATGTGAGTCTAGGAAAGGCGTGGATGTTGCTTGATTTCTGTCAAATTAATGACATGATCTGACACTAATGTATGTCAAAAGTTCTATGTTAAACTTCCTCTATCCTGCACACTATCGAACATCGAAAGCAACTGACAACGTCTGAGATATAATGAAGATATTTTAAATGGCGCCAGTCTGATAGCAGTTTCACGTGTGTCCCATGACAAAAATGACTCTTTCCTATCTTTAGGTTTGTCACATAAAGCGAAGGATTAATAATATAGTCTAGTTACTATTTTAAATGTTAAAAGTTTTAATCTACGTCACGCAGAATGTTTTCACGATATTAAAATTGATTACGGCACGCTTTAATAAGTTTTAAACGAGTAAAACAACTTTAACAGATAACTTAGTGTCGAGACGCCATATTCATCAATTAGCACGGACAAGTATAAACTGTAGATAATTAAGTTTTCTAACGCGTCGAAGGACGTAAATACTAGATGAGGCAATCTATCAAAAGATTCGATGATGATAAATTTTCTTCCTACTCTTATCAAAATTCAATATTTAGTTATCTCAGTTTCGTATTAATAGATTTCTGCAAATTGGTTCCCGGAGCGGATTAAATATTTATAGGGGGGGAGAGAGAGAGAGCGTTTTGAGTATTAAATTTTTGCTTATGAAAAAAAGCGTGTGGTCAGAAGATGTATTAAATAAACCATTGGAGTGCTATCTGGATAGAGATCTAATAACTTTCCTCGAAGTTTCTTATCTGAATAGTTGGGGTCAACAAACGCCAGTCGCGCTTTGACATTGTTACTGAAACAAGAACATTAATGGACCACACCACTCTGCCAAAGACGGTCATTACATTTGCATTAACAACCTCGGTACTATGTACTTTCCTACTTCTTTCTAGACATATTTAGAGCATCCGATCCTATTCACTTCAATAATTATGTAACTCGTAACGAAAGTGCGTATAAAGGAATAATTATTATTTTTTTATATTTATTTCTTTTTAATCATAAAAAAATAAAGTACTTTTTTTACTTAGGAATGAAAAAAAAGTTCTGTAGTTTCAATTTTTTTTTAAAAAAAGATAATTATCGAAGTTTCAAAACTTAATCTCCTTTTGAAATAACGATGCATGAATGATTTATCAAAACTGCTTTGAAGGAAAAAACTAACCAGATTCTTAGATTCGATACGTTGAGGACGACCACGCTTTTAACTAACACCATACGAAAAAAAAAATATTTTTACCGGTTTGTTCCGAGTTTTAAACACGATAAAAATCAATTTCGGAGGTAAAAAGATTTAAAATTTTTTTTTCAGTTAGTATCTAAACTATGTCTATAAAAAGACGTAATGAATAAAATTTACTTAGTATTTTATATACTAATTACGGTACATGTTTTTATGAGCCAACAATAAACTACTTCATAAACATGATCATCTTTATCCTGTTAACACTTTTATCGACAATTTTATCAAAAACCTGATTACAAAATTAACTTTTTGTTAAAAAATTATCATTAATTCAATATTTTAATAATAATTTTTCGTATTTTTAATAATAATAATAATAATAATAATATCTGTAAAAATAGACATCAAAATCGAATCTAAAATCAAATAAATAAAATCGATTTTTTAAAAAAAATATTAAAATAAATTAATAGATTTTTTACGACTTGTATTTATATTATTATTATTATATAATTTATTTTTTAAATTAAATTTTTTAATTGGCTTACGTTTTCAAAATGTTTTTCTTCACTTTACTTTGGGGGTTTTTTTTTTATCGATATTCCTGTTGATCTTGCTAAAAGTGCGTATACAAGTTGGAAAATGCAATTATATTTTCTATTTCTAACCGTCAAAATACTTTGTTACGTAATAATTATTCTTGAATTTTTTTTTCCTCTCTCCTTCCTCCCTTTTTTGTTTTCAAACTACCAACTTTTAAATCAGTTCTGTGTGCTTATCTGTTTAATCGGTTTTCTTTATAAAACTACACAACCACAAAGATAACACTCATATAAAGTTATAAAAGTGTGCGCTGTTATCTTTAAGGCAAAGAAGAAAATTTAACTTACTTCAATAAAATTTATTATCTTTACTTCGTTTTCCGACTCGTATTTATGCATATTTTTAGAAAGAAATTTATGAATCCTTCTTAGAATTTTTCTAACAAACATTTTTAAAACTAGGTTCAGTTTGTTATTTAATTATATTTTTAGATAATAATAAAATTTAATCAAATGTTTTTTTTTAATATAAAATAAATTTTCTTTTTATTTCTTTAAGTTCAAGCTTTTTTTTTTAAACTGTAATACTTTATTACAATAAAAACATTTTAAAAAGTAAGTATTAAAGTAAATATTATTATTATTATAAAATTTGCATTTTATGTAAAGGAATTTTTAATTAAAAATTTTCTAGTTAAAATAAAAAAAAAAGTGTTACTCAAAGATTTTTTTAATATAAAAATAAAAGTATAAAATAGCAAAAGTTGTAAAATTATAGTATAAAAAGCAATACAAAAGAAAAGGGATGTAATTGCAGAGTAAAAATATATTTTATTTATTTTTTTCCCTTTTGTAAAAATATAAAATGGAACGAAAAATCCAATCTGATAAAAGTCAAAATAGGGGAGAAAACCTAACAAAATTNTTTTTTTTTATCGATATTCCTGTTGATCTTGCTAAAAGTGCGTATACAAGTTGGAAAATGCAATTATATTTTCTATTTCTAACCGTCAAAATACTTTGTTACGTAATAATTATTCTTGAATTTTTTTTTCCTCTCTCCTTCCTCCCTTTTTTGTTTTCAAACTACCAACTTTTAAATCAGTTCTGTGTGCTTATCTGTTTAATCGGTTTTCTTTATAAAACTACACAACCACAAAGATAACACTCATATAAAGTTATAAAAGTGTGCGCTGTTATCTTTAAGGCAAAGAAGAAAATTTAACTTACTTCAATAAAATTTATTATCTTTACTTCGTTTTCCGACTCGTATTTATGCATATTTTTAGAAAGAAATTTATGAATCCTTCTTAGAATTTTTCTAACAAACATTTTTAAAACTAGGTTCAGTTTGTTATTTAATTATATTTTTAGATAATAATAAAATTTAATCAAATGTTTTTTTTTAATATAAAATAAATTTTCTTTTTATTTCTTTAAGTTCAAGCTTTTTTTTTTAAACTGTAATACTTTATTACAATAAAAACATTTTAAAAAGTAAGTATTAAAGTAAATATTATTATTATTATAAAATTTGCATTTTATGTAAAGGAATTTTTAATTAAAAATTTTCTAGTTAAAATAAAAAAAAAAGTGTTACTCAAAGATTTTTTTAATATAAAAATAAAAGTATAAAATAGCAAAAGTTGTAAAATTATAGTATAAAAAGCAATACAAAAGAAAAGGGATGTAATTGCAGAGTAAAAATATATTTTATTTATTTTTTTCCCTTTTGTAAAAATATAAAATGGAACGAAAAATCCAATCTGATAAAAGTCAAAATAGGGGAGAAAACCTAACAAAATTACATGGAAAAATTACAGAAGAGTCAATATAACTACGAAATAGTTATATTGACTCTTCTGTACAGATCAAGATTAAAATAAGGTGGAAAAAAGGAGAGAAAAATTTAATTTTTTTTTTTTAAATCTAAAATCCAAATGTAATAACATATATTGATGTAATAAATTTTTATTAAAATTTTTGAAAACTAAGATACCTTACAAATTAAATTCGTGTTTGGAATCATCAAAGGTATTCACATAATCATAAATTCATGTATGAAAGTTGATATTTTGTATGGTATCCTCTTTCCAATCACATTAACTTAATCTTTTCGGTAATAGGAAAATATTTTTAAGATTAATTTTTTTTTTCTGTACAAAAAAAAAACAATTTAAGATCTCTCTCTCTCTCTCGACATATTTATAAAATAATTAATTATAATATAATTTTGAAAGTTTAAAATTAAATTTTAGCATTTTTAAAACACATTTTTTTTTTCTTTTTTTCCAGAATTCCCAAGTAACAGAATGAAGACATTCTTCATCGTTACTGCGCTAATTTTCTATCATGTACAAGATTCGGAGGTAAGAAAATTTTCTTAACTAATGATGTACCACCTTTTACCTAATTAAATATGGATAAAAAATGGTCGAAATTCGCCTTTTACAGCAATTAGGCAAAGAAAGATAAACGAGTAAATCATGTCACGAGATAATTTAGAAGGAAATAGCCGCTAATTAATGATGGCAATTCAATATATTAGCTCAAAAAATGAATTATTTATCGATCAATTATTAGCATTATTATTATTATTATTATGATAGCGATCATTAAATATTCGATAAATTAAAGTTTAAAAAAGTCATTTTTTAATTTTGGTTCTTTTTAAAAATTTTTTTTCTTATCTTTTTTTTTTTTNTTTTCCCCTTTTGTAAAAATATAAAATGGAACGAAAAATCCAATCTGATAAAAGTCAAAATAGGGGAGAAAACCTAACAAAATTACATGGAAAAATTACAGAAGAGTCAATATAACTACGAAATAGTTATATTGACTCTTCTGTACAGATCAAGATTAAAATAAGGTGGAAAAAAGGAGAGAAAAATTTAATTTTTTTTTTTTAAATCTAAAATCCAAATGTAATAACAAATATTGATGTAATAAATTTTTATTAAAATTTTTGAAAACTAAGATACCTTACAAATTAAATTCGTGTTTGGAATCATCAAAGGTATTCACATAATCATAAATTCATGTATGAAAGTTGATATTTTGTATGGTATCCTCTTTCCAATCACATTAACTTAATCTTTTCGGTAATAGGAAAATATTTTTAAGATTAATTTTTTTTTTCTGTACAAAAAAAAAACAATTTAAGATCTCTCTCTCTCTCTCGACATATTTATAAAATAATTAATTATAATATAATTTTGAAAGTTTAAAATTAAATTTTAGCATTTTTAAAACACATTTTTTTTTTCTTTTTTTCCAGAATTCCCAAGTAACAGAATGAAGACATTCTTCATCGTTACTGCGCTAATTTTCTATCATGTACAAGATTCGGAGGTAAGAAAATTTTCTTAACTAATGATGTACCACCTTTTACCTAATTAAATATGGATAAAAAATGGTCGAAATTCGCCTTTTACAGCAATTAGGCAAAGAAAGATAAACGAGTAAATCATGTCACGAGATAATTTAGAAGGAAATAGCCGCTAATTAATGATGGCAATTCAATATATTAGCTCAAAAAATGAATTATTTATCGATCAATTATTAGCATTATTATTATTATTATTATGATAGCGATCATTAAATATTCGATAAATTAAAGTTTAAAAAAGTCATTTTTTAATTTTGGTTTTTTTTAAAATTTTTTTTTTTTATTTTTTTTTTTTTTTTTTTTTTTAATTTTTTTTTTTTTTTTTTTTTTTTTTTTTTTTTTTTTTTTTGAAAGGAGTAGATTCAATTTTCAATGAAATATTATTCGTATTTCCCCATAGCATGTATTCCCATTTTCTAGATAGGGGAACATCACTTCCAATTCAGCAAACTCTCAAAAGCCACTGGTTTGTTGGAAAAAATCATTACCGGGATTTGTCCAAGGGAAAAATAGAGATGATGCCAAAACCCTGTAAATCAAGTCAGATCAAAGAATGGTGACAGTTATCTATGGCATAGATAATTCGAATTTAATAGAAATTTATCGAATTCCGTTTGGTAGTGGAGTCGAGAAAAGATAATGGTTGTCATTTCTTCAACATGATGGCATCAATATTCCCCAAAAGATTTTTGCAAGAATTTTTTAAGTAATGGCATTTTCTCTAAGTTATAGCTTGATACTTTCTTTGTTTTTTCATTCTCTAATGGATTTTTATATTCGTTTTTTTTAAATAATATTTTTAATTCTCTTATACAAAAATGTTCTAGTTTCGGTCGTTAGTATTTGAAATACTTTTCAATATTACATAAATATTAAATTTGATTTAAAAAATGGTTGATTTTGAAATAAAGTTACAGAATTAGTTAAATTATTTCAATCAATATAGGTATTGATAGTGATTGTTTACATATTTTATATTTATTTTAAGACATATATATATATATATATATATATAAATTATTATTGATGATTATAATAACTGGAATTTAATAATGAAAAAAAAATTATATCAGCTTAAATTAATCTCAAAATCATTAAATTATAGTAAAGCTGGTATTATACAATATCATAAATCAATATAATATTGATTTATGATATTGTATTGATCGTTATGCACAGATATAACAGATCAGAGAAAGGATACAATATTTAAATGACAATCTTACTGAGAATTAAAGCCTGATGGATTAAAAAAAAAATTAATCTCTTCTCTCACGTAACAATAATCTTCAGATAGTATATAATAACTATGCTGGAGAACAAATTTATTAGTTTCAGAAAGTTATCATTTATAATAAACGACCCGAGTAGAATCGTAACGTGAAAGATTCCATAAATCAAACTACAAATAGAAAAGTTAATGGTCGATTTTATTGTAATGTACTCTATAATATCAAACATTATTGTTTGTGTTTAACACGAACATCATTTAAACTGATACAAGAGATTAGTTAAACTGTTGTTCGTGTCAGATTAATGATAAACTAGTTCCGTATAAACGGGAGTGGTTCGTATGACCTGCAACACTCATTTCCATGCAAGGATGTATTCCCAACGCGCAATCTGGCCTAGTTTTTTTCTTTTTTTTTCTTTTTTTTTGCAATATTTCTATGTTAGAACGTAGTACCGGTAGCTTCAGACGATTATTCTTGTTGTTATTTTTCCTGTTATACAATCGTGCATCACGCTTATTAGTTGTATTTAATATAGGGTGTGTTTGGTTATATTATCTCGACGATTAAGTATCGGTCTTCTTTCTCAGAAAGTTTATCTTATTTAATAATCTGAGATAATTCAAAAAAATAAAAATGTTGTATGTTTTGTCATCGGTTTGATTTCTGTAACACGATACTAATACATTTTCATCATCATCCGTATCAAAATTAACTTTAAAATATATATATATATACATATATATTCGTTTTGTATTGAGATAAGATTAAGTCAACATATTTTGAGATTTTTATTTGCTTTATATATAATTTCTTTTTTTATATTTTTATTTCGTTGTTATAAAATATTCATAACTAGTAAACATTTGCGACGAAATTTCATCTACGAATAGAAACGTAATACCTCGTGGGCTTACGTTATTAGGAAGTTGTATGTATGAATACATAAGTTATTACTTTTGATTTTTTTTATTTGTATATTCTGCATTTAATCCAAGAAAAGCTGTTTTGTTTTTTTGTTTTATCATTTCTTTTACTTAACTTTTCTTTTTAAATTTAAAAATTGTAAGTTTATTAAATCGTACAAATTCTTTCATCTAATTTCTAAAGAAGAAAAAAAACCAGCATTAAATAAAACCATCTTCGACAAACAAATTAACATAACTTGATAATCATAACGTTATTGAAGCTTTTAACATGATCAGAATGTTTTTTTTTTTTTTTTTACAAAAAAGAAAAAGTTTTTGTACTTTTGAAAAAAAGCATTTTTCCATCTGCTATCTTCTAGTTTGTATAGATAATTAAGTGTACTCATCATAAAAACAAGCAAGGCTGCTTGCCTAGTGTTATATATATAAAATTTTTTTTTAATATTTTCTTCTTCGCGTTTTTGAATTATTTTTGCTCGTATTATTTCAATCAACGTCTTTTTGGCTCTTTGCCAGTTTACTTTAGGGGTTTGAAAGCAATTCGGAAGAATAAACAATGTCTCTTGTCTTCCCTGGCAGCTCCGTCTACACTTCACTATAAACAACGCCTCTTCACCACAGATGTAGATATGTAATTTCGATCGGTACAAGATTATTCTCGCTAACGGGAACAACCACCAGCGAGAATCGTTGGCCCGGGGCGGTGGCAACCTGTTCTCTTCTGTTTATCAATTCGTCCCATTAATGCTTTTCTGTACAAAGAAGCGGCCACCTTAACATAGAAGTAATACTTGGCTAACGTGTGGGCGGCATGTCATTCGGGGTGCGGAGACTGTAATAAAACTCGATCGTCTTCATTGTTAGCTTCCACTCCCCCGACCTTTACGATTTTCTTGAACGTTCTCTTATTTTATTGATCGTCTTGTCTAACTTTACATTTGATAGTTAACGTCCTTCGGTTTTTTAAAACTCTCTCTTCGTAATTTAAACAGTTCTTTAAAACACTATCAATGATGTTGATGATCTTGCTTATTAATACAATTATCTCTGTTTTTTTTTTCTTTTAAACATAAGATTTTAATTAAATTATCCTCTTCTGATTATATTTTTGGGTGTACAAAAAAGTACACAAGTTTACTAATGCTCTAATTTTTATATCATAATTATCTTTTTATATTATCTTATTATATTGTCTTACTTTTCCCATCTTATAAATTCTTAATTAGCTTAGAAAGTTAATGATTATTCGTCTTCACAAGCTTACTAGGTTCTACATTATTATTAATACAGTTAATCTTCTTAATTAACTTTAAAACACATTATAGTTAATGTAAAAATTAACTTTTAAACGTAATTAAATGTGGTAAAGAAATGTACAAGACGTTGGATAAGGTAAAAAAAATAACTGAAGTATTTTTAAAACAAATTAATTTTATATATAACGTTAATTCTTGCATATTCAAGTTTATAATAAGCCAATGGTTAATGATTTTTAGATAATAATAAAGGCAAATATAACTTAATCTCTAATATATAATAAGGCGATAGGCCCAAGTTTTTAAAATTGTTTTTACTTTATGAATTTTTCTAACTTTAAAGAAGAGAATTTTAATCAAATTTTTCATGTTGAACGTCATTTTAACTAAGCTGTAAACTACAGTTTACTTAGGAACTGTAAAGACTGATAGTCTGCCTTATTTTTTAGAAAAAGACTCTATAAATTTATCGAATATTTTTAAGATTTAAATTATCTACTATTTTAGTAGGAATTGAGTTGAAAGTAAGCGACAAAACGAATTGAATATTACAAAATTCAGCGA